GTAGTATAAGATGGATATAATTGATAAAAATATCACACATGATGACAAATATTTAAACAAAGAAGGGTGCGCCCAACGACAAAAGTCTGACACTAACGTGACCTACTGACGGAGATTGCAGTTGCTTTTCATTGGAAATGAGACAATAATTTTAAAATTCAATCCCCAACTACAATCCAACAAATAAGTTGCCGACGAGAAACAACAATCATTGAGTTGGAAAACTCTTTCCTATCTAATTATCTAAGACCTGGAATTCAAAATTATTTATTATAAAATTTTAAGATCTCTGAATGCTTCATGAACTAGCAAGTGTGCATGCTGAGACCCCATTAAATATATGTATCATGGAACAGTTAAAATGAGAGGGTGGAGATAAGGAGCCGAACATCCATTAAGCAAAGATATGTCACAGATTTAGGCCAACTAAGTAGCAGTTGAGTAGATAGTACTACGTCGAATTTGCGGAGTACTTACTACTTAAACCCATTAAAATAATCAAAAGTCCATAATTCGTTGGATCGACTTGATAATTCGATCACAACCTTTTCTAGAAATCTATTTTAACATTCTTGAAAGAAATACCAAAATCAAAATCCACAGAAAATATACACTTGGCTTTCTGACTCTTACCTGAACTACAAATGCTGTAAGAGGCAAAGGAGGAGATCCCACAGAAAATGCTTGAGCTAAACGTTCAAGTTCATCTTTCACCTGCCCGTCATCAAAACCCTTTGTGCAAACCTGCAACATAACCAATCAAGTATTTAAGGATTTGCAGATCAAAAACCATATTTTAAATAGATTACGGAAAACAGACTTAAATGAAGTGAGTATTCTTATGCGATCAATAAATGAATTCTACAAAAAGTGGTTGCTCGAAATGATAGACGACTTTTAGAAGCATTCAAAGGCAATCGAGCATGAACCTGAACTATGAGAAGGACCTCTGAAATATTGGTTTCGGGATTGTCAACATCAACTATCTGGCAATCTTTCTTTCCTTCACGAACCTTGATATAAATATAGGATACAAACAGTCAGTGGAAGAACTTTTGGTACTTTCTATTCAATAGTATTTAAAAAAAGGTATCGCAATGTTTATTTTGGTTTCTGAAATGAAGCAAAATTCATCAATTTTTGGACCATAAATAAACTCAACTACTTCAATTGATATTCACAGTATTTGTTGTACGAAACATACAGTAAGTTGACGCCAGAATCCAGAATTGTTCAATCTGTTCCATACGGGCAAGGCTGAATGCTGCTGCAGAAATTCTTGAAAAACAGTGGCATATTTGCAGGCAATTTTGGAAACATTTGGACAAGTCAACTAGGGCTCCTTCAACCTAGGCCAGTTCTACAACCCCTCCCCCTATACGAAATTTTCCAATTATTTTTCGGAGTGGAAAAAATAAACACATCAAATAATTATTACTATTTAATAATTGCAGACGCCACCTGAATTCCCGAGTAAAAACCACTGTATGCTTGCCTGCAAAGGAACATCCAACCGGAGAATTCGCACTTGTTACGGTATCCATTAACAAGAGGTGATTCAATAATACCCTCCAACTTGCATGGAAGACCGCCTGAATGTCAGCACAGAGAATAGGTCAAAGAGCAATTTGAGTAAAGAGAGACTGAGATAGTAATTTATTATTATGATATACAAGTGAGGATTTCTTCTCAGCTAGCGTTGTAACATAATGTTTATACTTCTCCGTATAATTTACATATTACAGGCAAACTGCAAATTTTCTGCATCATATTTTTATTCAACTTCACAGACATGGTCAGACCCGAACCTATTTCTCTAGCATTCAGAATCCATTCTGGAAGTGAAACACCGTTTGGACAAGCCTTACGTGCATTACGAGTCTACAAATAACAAAAACGAAAACCCCGATTAGTAGACTGCAAAAGGAATTGGATTCCGTCAGTTGCAAAAGGCGAGAAAATAAATTACGCATTTTTTTTACTAACTAGTTTTTTGAGAGTTTGGGCCAGAGAGTTTTTCTTGTGCTCCAGCTGATCAGAATATGACATGTGAGCAAGTGGAGTGACTGCATCACGTGCACTTCTACCCTTTGAAACTGAACCATCGGTAACTAGATTGCCATTCTCGTCATTGCTTGCAGACTCATTCATGTCACCATCTGTCGATGTATTTTCCAATTTCTGAGCCGAAACAACTTTATTACTTTTCTCAAATGGCCGTGGAATGACATCCGAGACCTTTAAAGTTCTGTTATTGCCAATGGATTTCCCATCCAATTCCTGCAAATTCAAGAATATTGAGTTTGAGTAACCAATTTCAGACTTCTTATAATGTTTCCAAAATGAATCGCAATTCTCAAGTGTACCTCTGCAGCAATCTTCGCTTTCTCTGCGCTTTCGAAAGTAGCAAATCCAACAATCATCCCTTTCTTTTTCTTGGCTGATTTAAACACAATTCCCTGGAGTAACAGTTTTTATCAGACCACATGGCATACATCAAGCATTATGGATCAACTGAAGCAAATAACACGGAAATAGTAACCTGTTCGGTGAGGAAGCTCCTTAAATTATCGGAACTCCACTTCATGGGTAAATTAACGAGGCATTTAGATAAACCAGGAGAAGATTCCTCCCCATTCCCCTCCACCGCATCGGTCATCATTACACCACACTTCTCCGCCGCCGCCGCCGCCTCTTTCTCCAATGTTTTGGCCAACTTCTTCGCTCGCTCAGAGGTGGGGTCCCAGGTATTATCAGGCCGTGGCTTGAGCTCCGCCTCTCCATGAGCGTACCGGCACGATTCCCCGTGGCTGCATGACTCGCCGAATCTCCGGAAGTACGAGCAGAGGCTCGTTTTCGACATTGGATGCTGCTTCTGCGGTTGGGTCGGGTCGGTTGGTGTTTCCGGGTCAGGTTCGGACTCCCGCTTCCGCTTCTCCGGCAGGTTGGTGTCGGCGGCGGAGGAATCGGGAGGAATTTCCGATGGATTCGATTGGTCGGAGGAATCGCAAGCATCCATTGGAGAGGTTAGGGTTTCTATTAGCCGGACTTCCGATGGGTTCGATTGGTCGGAGGAATCGTGGGCGTCCATTGAAGGGGTTAGGGTTTGTGTTGGCGGGATTTCAGACATTGGAGGGTTTGGGTATGAATGTAGGAAGTGGGGTTACAGTTTTAAAACTGCTTTATACTTTACGCATGTACTATTATGTAGGAAATTTAAACCACTCTTAACAATTAGGATTAAGAAAAATAAATAAGTGACAAATAAAAGATATTATTGTATTAAATAGTTAAAAGAAAAAAATTATTAAATTACTTTTCTCGTGAATATTTCTTAACTAATGAATGGATTGCTTAAGTAAAAAAAAAAAGGCAATTTAAATGTTCATTAAAATAATTATAATAAAAAATTTAATTACCTTTTTTAATCGAAGAACACATAACCACACATAACCAATCATATAGGTGCACTGAATAAACCGACATTCTCGTATAATATTTTACAAATCATATGAGAGACGTAAAACAAAACTAGGCTAACCACTTCAACAAGTTTGATCTTCTGTCAATTAAGATAAGTTTACTAAGCAATATTTTTAATCTAGAGTGGACCTAAAATATTAAGGGTGTATTTGATATACACCCCTCATATGGAAAATATATAGAGATAAGTCTACCATTAAAAATCTTCCTTTGAGATACCCTTGGAGAGGCAAAAGTACTATTATGCCCTTAAATGCAATTTTCGCCCAACTGCACTCAGTAATTTCGCCAACTGCATTCAGCACTATAAGCCAACTGCATTTAGTATTTTTTGGCCCTACGTTTATCATTTTTACAGATTTTTTTAATAAAAAATATAATTTTTATTTTAATTATTACTTTTTATATATTTCCTTTTTTTTTATTTTTTTTTATTTATTTTATTTATTTTTTATTTTTTTAATTTTTTAATTTTTTAATTTTGTTTTTTTATTTAGTTTTTTTTTTCAATTTTTTAATTTATATATTTTTTTTATTAATTCAAATTTTAATAAATTTACTGTACTGCAAGTATACTACACATGACTATAGTATACAAATTATATAGTCATGTATTGTCTTTTTACCCTAAAATTCATCTACAACAATAATAAAATTCATAATTTGAAACTTGATATTATATCAACTAACCAACAAATGAAAAAACACAATCGCATGCATATATTCTTAAAACATAAACAAACATTACTGTACATTAAAAAACCATTAGGCATACATATAACTATATGTGACTATAGTTATCTACAATTATCTATACTTATGTATAGTGACCTAAAGTCTGGAGTACTGTAGCATCAATGTTACTTCACATAACACTTCTTCTGCATAATAATTCTCTGCAAGGTTATACAAATAGCAA